AACACATACCCAGTTCATTCCCTCTAGCTGGCAATAGAAAGAGGTTGCAATGTAACCAGCAATTCCTGAGGTGAGTGCGTAGATGACGACCAATGCGGTGAAAAGGGCACCACGATTGTAAGGGTAGAATACTCCAACGAGGGCAAGCAGGAATATAAAGGTTGTTCTGCCATGTCCAAATAAGATCATTAGATATGTGCAATCCAAGGGATAACTAAATGATTTTATTTTATGCACGGTATGGTAATAGTATAAAAGCCAAAAAAGAATGCATCAGCACTTACAGAGCAAACAGTTGAGTTCCAGTGCCAAGAGCAGCCGAAAACAATGACTTGTTCTTGGGGAACCGGAAGACATCACCATGAATATACTTCCATCCAGACTCTTCTTGGTCATCAGCTGCTTCCTCATCATGGGCATACCTTCAAATAATATATATGATGTTCAGAAACATAGAAAAGAAATGCAATCGATGCTCTTAATATATCAATAGAGAAGACCAAAACTGAGGAAATCACAGTCAATCCATTGCTAGATTACATCATAGAATGGGAAAAATACAAATATGTCCATGATGTAATCTGTTTCATACACTTATTCTACATCATGCAGCGGCCTACATCCTCAACTGCAGAACACCATCCAAATATGAGGGATAAAGCATAGGCCTAAAGGTAAAAACTAATAACCAGTCAATAGGTTGCCTGCTTGCATTCTGACCAAACAATTGTATGTGAATGCTACATTACTAGATTTGCGCATCATTCGCGAAGCTTGCCCAGCTGACATGCAAAACAATCTAGCCATACTAAATTGAGCTAAATAGCAACCTGAGAAAACTTAGAAGGGGACTGTAAGATCTTTTTCCTAATTAGAACCTAGTGACAGTAACTTTTGCTATCTCTATAACACCTGGCTGAAATAACTGGAAGAATCAATGGTGGAGCTGGCTGGACGCAATTAGGCTGGATCGATAAATGGAATAATGGATGTAAGAGAATATATCCGTTCACAACAAGAGAACAAATATATCCATGACAGATTGCCAAAAGACAGAGGGGCAAAATACGAATATGACCATGAAGTAATCTGTTTCATACACTTATTCTACATCATGTAGCGACCTACATCCTCAACTGCAGAACACCATCCAATATAAGGGATAAAGCATAGACCTAAAGGTAAAAACTAATAACCAGTCAATAGGTTGCTTCCTTGCATTCTGACCAAACATTTGTATGTGAATGCTATAAAGATACTAGATTTGCACATCATTCACAAAGCTTGCCCAGCTGACATTCAAAACAATCCAGCCATACCAAATTGAGCTAAGTAGCAACCCAAGAGAACTTAGAAGGGGACTGTAAAATCTTTTTTCTAATTAGAATCTAGGGACAGTAACTTTTGCCATCTCTAACATCTGGCTGAAATAAGCGCTGGAAGAATCAATGGTGGAGCTGGCTGGAAGCAATTAGGCTGGATCGATAAATGGAATAATGGATGTAAGAGAATATATCCATTCACGACAAGAGAACAAATATATCCATGACAGATTGCCAAAAGATAGAGGGACTCTTTAATTCAAAAGATTCTTAGGAAATTTCCTTCTGTTTGATTTGTAGGACTTGACCCATTGACTTGAAACCTATTGGAAAGATTCCTTTGTTTTTCCTATGGTGCAATCAAACAACCTTCGGTGCAAACTTAATCACATGACATTGCAATTGCAAAAAAAAATAGTATATCCCTGCGTTATCGGAATAATACTATTCAAACAGGCCCTAAACAGTCTTTCAGATATGAGTATTTTGCAGTAAGAACTGAGGAATAAAACAAAGCCTATATCGTGAGTTTGTTTGTTTCTGTAATGTATGGCAATGCAGTAGGGGTACACCAAAACTTAACATTGTAGAAGCAATAGTGAATCGGTTATTCACATAAATGAAGTTTGGTGGAAACTTACTTAACAAAATCATTCTTCAGAACTCGCATGAGGATTGTTGCCAAGAACCCTGTGAGGAGAAGGACCGTAACACAAGAATTTATAATGGAGAACCAATGGACCTCCAAGTGATGCGGCATGTTGGAGGAGCTGGAATACTTCTCCATCCTCTTCTCGAACGGTGTAGGTGTCTCCTTCCACTTGACAGTGTAAAGGAAGTCCACATTAACCTCCTTGTCCTCTGTCAGGTCAACCAGTGCACTCTGGTCGGTATGCACATTGATCTCAATGACACGGTCGTTGTTGTAGAGGATGTCAAAGATAATGTGCCTGTAGAGGTAGTACTTCCACTCGCTCGGGTCAGGCTTGCCTCCCTTCTCGACCTTACCGATGAATCCCCACAATGGGAGATCATCGTAGTACATCTGGAAGTAGTAGTCCTTGGCTACGGCATTCCGGAACTTGGCCACGTCCTCCTTGGTAAGCTTCTTGGGGCAAACCGCCTTGGAATCATGATCCGTGCGGAAATCAAGCTTGTAGGGTGCATCGACCAACCGATCCCCATTGAGGACCTCGCCGAGGGCCTCGCTCTTCTCCTTCACTTTCTCTGAAATCAAAGCCACACATAATAAGCATTACATAGTTCGAGAGAGAACTTACTAAACCAAGCAAGTGACGGAATGGTGAGGAACTAACCCGGGGAGCAGAAGGGGAGGTCGAAGTAGCGGTACGTCTCGCTGCAAGGAAAGGAAGCAAGGCATGAGGATTACTACGTTTGTAGAGGGGCAGAAATCTGCTTTAGCAAACAGATCCGGTTCCTAACGCTGCAGACAAAAGTGTTCGTTCGATACATCCAAAATTGGCGCCCGAACCAATAACAACCGACACTCTACTGAAGACAGACATAAATAGAAGCCTACGTGAAGGAGATCCGGAGCGCACTGAACCAGTTGCGATGCCGCCCAATCCACCACCCCCGGAGCTCTCCGCCAGATCTCCCCCGAAACTAGGCGGTGCTGACCATCGTGACGCAGCGTAAACCCTCCAACCCAGACCATTGTATCAGACCGGAGCAATAGACGGCACGGCGCACTCTCCCGCGGAACCCGACGGATCCGACGACCCCCCACGCACGGACAGGGAATGAACCGAAAGGGATCTGGGTGAGGGAGGGAGGGATGGGAGGGATGGGAGGGAGATCTGGCTGACCTGGGGTTGTGGAAGGGGCCGACCTTGTTGGCGTAGAGCGGGACGGGGTCGCCGAGCTTGTAGCGGTGGTCGGAGCCGTCGGAGAGGACGCCGGCGACGGCGAGGGCG